AGAGAGAGAGAGAGAGAGAGAGAGAGAGAGAGAGAGAGAGAGAGAGAGAGAGAGAGATGGAAAAAGATGTTCAAAGTAAAATGGATCTGGGAAACAAGCAGAAGTCACTGTTGCAGGATATTTGATCACATTGTGAACTGTAAGAATCTGTTTCTAATTGTAGCTCAGCCTTTGATCACAGAGCTTTTTGTTTACTGTAAACAAGTAGTTGTAGTGTGGCTCTGCCTTCGCCTTCCTGTGTTCCTTAAATCCAAGAGCTAAATAAGGTCAACCCTGGGTCAAGTGGCTGAGCAAGCAGCCAACTGACAGGGCCTGAATAAGTAAACAGAGAGGAGGGCCTTTGAGTTGAAGGTTATTTAAGACATCTTGGAGATGGAGAAGATCTTTCCTTCTGGAACATCTGTGGAGTAGGAAGGTCAGCTGGGTGCTTTCTCTGACTCTCTGAGCCAGCAGGTTTTTCCTCAACATCTGGCCTCTGAGTCGTCATTGGTAAAATTAAATGGCTAGGAGTTTTGTTTTTTTTAAAATAGCTGTTCTTTCAAATACCTTAAAGTATAATTCTCAAAGCAAAGCTAGTAAGATGGGGTAAATAAGGTCACTTTGTACTAATTACAGGCACGAGCCAATAAAAGGATACTAATATTCTAAGAACATATGGCCCAACATAGGTGTGCCCAATGTCATAAAACAAATATTGCTAAAGTCACAGGTTAACCATAGCACAATAGCAGTGGATTACTTCAACATGCCAATGTCACCAGATGACAGGTCATCCTGACCAAAAAAACAACAAACAAATAGAAACATCTGGATTATAAGACACTATAGGTCAATGGATTTAACGGATATCTATCTACAGAATATCCCATGTCAACACTGCACAATCTACATTTCCTCTGAAGCCTTTCTTTTAGGTCATACATTAGGACACAGTGGATCTAAACAAGTCTAGGAAAGTTGAAATGATCCCAGGTATTCTTTCTGATCACAATGGAAGAAAACTACCAATCGATAGCAAGAGAAATGCTGGAGCATAGAACCCTTGGGGAGATTAAACAGCACACTGATGAACGACAAATGTGTCCTCAACAGAATCAAGGAGACTTAAATCAGAATCAAACGAAAATATATCAAACCTATTGCATATGATGAAAGCAGTCCAAAGCGGGAGGCTCCAAGTGCCTACCTTAGGTAATCAGATAAATCTCAAGTAACTCAATGATACAACGTAAAGCCCTGGAAACAGAACAAATGAGACCCCAAAACTGTAGAGGAAAAGAAAACATTAAGATCAGGGCAAAGAAGCCAGGCACACACTTTTAGTCCTGGCACTTGGGAGGCTGCAGCAGGCAGATCTCTGAGTTTGAGGCTAACCTGGTCTACAGAGCAAGTTCCAGGACAGCCAAGGCTACACAGAGAAACCATGTGTCAAAACAAAAACAAACAAACAAACAACAAAACCTTAGTTTGATTCCTAGTACCCACATCAGGTAGTTCACAACTACCTGCAGACCAAGTACAAAGGGATCCAATGGACTCTTCTCCGGACCCCGCCCCCAGGACATATCTTATGCACATACATAAGATGTATACTTATATAGACACATACATATAAGTTTTTTTTTTTTGGTTTGGTTTTTCGAGACAGAGTTTCTCTGTGTAGCCCTGGCTGTCCTGGAACTCACTCTGTAGACCAGGTTAGCCTCGAACTCTCAAACTCAGAAATCCACCTGCCTCTGCCTCCCAAGTGCTGGGATTAAAGGCGTGCGCCACCACCGCCCGGCTTACATATAAGTTTTTTAAAAAAATAATTAAAAAAAAAGGTTAAGAGGAAGACAGCTCCAAGAGCATTGGAGACTCTCCAGTGCTAAGCGTTAAGATTACATCAGTCCTGTGATACTGAAAGTGTTCAGACATGCAGGCTATCCCTTGGACATGCAGGCTATCCCTTGGACAAGCAGGCTAACTCTTGGACAAGCAGGCTAGCCCTTGGACATGCAGGGTAGGGTATTGTTTGGACATGTAGGTATTGCTTGGAATGTCTCTCTGTAGAACTAAGAGAAGACCAAGGCTAGGTTATGGGAGGAATGTAAAAACAGGGTGAAAGGCTGAGAGGGCTCTAGAATCTTTGGTGCTGTCACAGTCAGAAGGGCCACTTTGATCTTGTGGAGGGAGGGTTGGCTAGGTTAGGAGGCTCCAAAGATTCTGTAAGATGACCATGAGTAGCTTGGTTAAAAAGGTTTGGGTAAGACTTCAAATTTGGGAAGCCACACACAAAGATAATTTACTAAGCCAAGGAAGAGAAGGTGCTGTTTAGTTTTTGTTTGTTTTCGGAGGGTTTATCCTGGATTAGAGATTTGCAGTTTTGAGATATGGGTGAGAAGCAAGGTGAGGCCAAGGTCACTTACATATGGGGATGCTATCTGGACCTTGGGAGGGAATGCCAAGTATTCCAGGTCATCCAGAAAATTAAAGGGCAGTGGAAGTGTGTGTAGAGACAGTTTAAAGAGAGGCAGTAAAAAAGAGGCCCTCTACATTTTGGGGAAGAGTGCTGGGTACAGGAGGCTTTGCAGGTAGCCCACAAGAATCTGGTCCCTAGAACTGCCTCCTCCTCCTCCTCCTCCTCCTCCTCCTCCTCCTCCTCCTCCTCCTCCTCCTCTTCCTTTTTCTTCCTTCCTCCCCTCCTTCTTCTCCCTTTCCTTTTCTCTGCATAACCACTTTGTCTCTTTCTTCCCCCTGCCCTCTCTCCCTTCCCATGATAACTTCTCTGGCCTCCTTTCTTGAGGCCAATGAACTCTCCCACCTGAAAGCAGCCTCCCAATAAACTTGTGTACACACACACACACACACACACGCACTGATCTGGCTTGAATTGTCTCATTTCTCCAGCAGAG